GGAGCTTTCAGACTAATTTGCATCATCTTGTCTTGACTTGTCTGACTTTTGTTCCTTTTTCGACTTCCAAAAAAAAATTTTGTCTTCACTTTATTTGCATATCAATCAACAGGTTGTGTATATAAACCTGCTTTCCCCTCTGGTCTCTCAGTCACTGACGAAAGCTAGTGGATACTAGCTGAAACGTCTGACGTTTTCAAAATCATATCCAGTTGCTTGAGTAACTGTTTTTTGGCATATCGTATTACCTGGATGTCTAACCTTCATCGACGTAACACAGTATTTAGGGGCGAACCCTGTAGTCAAAAGTAGTCCGGGCACAAAGTAGTACTGCACAATACTAGAGAAAGGTGCAGAGATTGTTCTGTGCAAGGCATCGAGATAGAACCTGTGGTGAATGTTAGAGGAATACGTCAGTTTTGAGACTGTAAAAGTTGAATTATGGTGCGTGTTCAGTCGGCGTAGATTTGCGCTTGGATACTTGTCTCGCCTAGTACTGTGCGTCGGCTGCAGTTCCGTGACCTCCGCAGTGGCGCTAATAAATGAGGGCGTGAGAAGAGAACTAGCCGGCAAATTTAAGCTCATTTTCACATATTTTGTACACTATACCCTGAAATTAAACATATAAAAATTCTGAACCTTGCTTGTGCACCCTACTATGATTTTCAGTGAGTCGAAGTGAGTCACTTTGGGGTCCTTAACTATAGAAATCCCCATAGGGCGAAAACTGTGTTGTGCCGCCTTAACCTTTCACTGTACGGTCACATTCGTGACGGTGAGCTCACTACCCTAATTATTGTTGTTTGTCTGTGAAATAGACTGGAAACATAGTTCTCTTCGGAGCTTGCGAAGAAGATAACGTTTAATGACTTAGACCAGATGGCTGTCACTATGGTAACTGGTGCTGTAGCATGTGGCAGGAGTTGGAGGAGCCGGTCACCATATAATATATATGAATGTGTTCATTGCATTTGAATAATAATTAACAGAACAGTAGTTTGTTAGTCTTGACAACGCCAAGGTTAACGTTATGTGTTTGCAAATGGTAAATTATTTTTAGTTTACTCTTATCCCAACATATTGCAGGAGGGCGCCACCGAGTGGGGCGTGACGGTACTGCAGGCGGCGGAGACGATGGACGGAGGAGACATTTGGGCCACCTGTAAGTTTACTATCAACCGCCAGGCGACCAAATCTAGCCTCTACGGAAAGGAAGTCACCCAGGCGGCGGTGGTCTCCGTTCTGCAGGCCATTGATGCCTGGGAGCGAGACGTGCCGCCGATACCTCTTGATTATAAGCACCCAGAGGTAGGCTAACCTTCTCCATATGGCTGTTGCCTATCCATGTAGCCAATATTTCCGAATGGCTACCTCATCGTACCGAAAGTAAAGATGTGGTTAAGACACGCGTAAGCCAAAACACTTCGGTAGGGTACTTACGATTTCCTCTGCCTCATGTTTCAAAATCCTTCCTTTGTTTTCAATTCTGTCTATCATTGCATATTTGTGTGAAGTTTGATACGGGGAAAACGCCCGTAACCGAAGCCAGGCACTAAATCTTTTGGTAGTTAATTTGTCTGAAGTGTCTTACTCGATCATATGACCTGCTATAGATTCGAACCCAGGATAGTTGAATTCTGAAGCTACCTCCAAACCACAATACCAACACGTTTTCTTTGTTAATTTGTTGTTTTGTTCAGGTGAAAGGTGAGCTGAAGCGGAAGCTGACGGCTGAGGACCGGCAGGTGGACTGGACGCAGGCGGCGGAGGACGTGGCGAGGTCTGTGCGCGCCTGCGACTCCCAGCCGGGCGCGCTGGGCGTGCTCCGTCTGCCTGTACAAGGTCAGTATCATGTCCAGAACCTAGACTATCTAGTGCTATGGCCGATTGGGGTTAGGGTTGGAAACGGTTGTTGATATAGCATCTATCGTATCCAAGAACGTAGATTTGCCCCAAGAACGTTTCATTTTACGCGTGCACGTGGACTATCATCATCGGAAGAGCCGTGCCTGAGTTTGGTTCTGGATAAAGAAAGGTTCCGGATGCAACAGTACGCCACAGCATCGTAACTCTATACCTTGTGAATTGTGATACATACGCAAACTGCACTATTCCCAGCCTCTTCGAACCATTTCGTATAAACCTTTGCGAACTTTCTTTGCCGTCAACATATTAACTAATGTTGTAGCAGGCACCCTCTTGTGTTGGCTTAGGTAGCAAGTGGCAGGACAGAGTTGGGCCTGTCGATAGTTAACATATTATAAGTTTGCTGAAGTTCATGGAAGTCTGTTTTTTTCAGTTGTTACAAAAAAAATTTCTTTATCTTTTAATTCTAAAGGTCAGCGACTAGAGCATGAGTTCGCGCTGTTTGGCGCATGCGTGGAAGGTGACCCTGACCTGACACGGCGCGTGAAGAAAGACCAGGAGTTGCGCGTCGCCCCCGGTGACGTCATCGGCAGGAGGAACGGCGCTGTCTTGGTGGCCTGTGGAGAGGACACCGCTGTCTGGATCTCACATCTTAAGGTACGAGCTAGTCCGTTACTCGCTAGGGGTGGAATTTCTAACCCTGAAGTCTTTGAACAAGGTATTTTGCATAGTCATTGCCAGTTCGCAATTCCCAACAAAATCTTTAAGAAGAATATTCCTTAATTTTGAAAGGTAAAAACACGTACCTCCAAATTTTCGATGTCGACTGTACAGCTTGAATACGGAGTGACCTAGTCTCGCGAGAACACGAGACTAGGTCGAGACTTGTGTGGATCTTCTGGCCTCCCCTGCCTCCTTGCGGTGTAGGGGTAAGTAGGACTTGGGCAGCTCCCAACCTTCATTCCCGACCTTCAACCTTCTTCAGTCTCTACCTAGACTCGTGTTCTCGCGAGACTAGGTCACTCAGTGATCAAGATGCACAGTTGACATCAAAAATTTGGAGGTACGTGTTTCTACCTTTCAAAAAGTCACTGATTGAGGAATATTCTACTAACTGATAATTCTACGTGACTGATGAACCTCTTCAACGACAGCAAAATCTTACCTTGACCGCTGTTTACTTTTCTCTGCATGACAGTTTTACCTCTAGTCAAGATGACGGTGACACGTAACCAAATCACTTTAGCTTGCATTTCTTTACTGTCTTCAGGAAGTTTTGTAAATGGGCCATGCTTTGCTTGACTCTGTTCCGCACCAATCGAAACGGCCGAGGCTAGCCAGGCTATGCTTTTGATATAAACGGCCGTCGCGCGACCCGACGCGCGTTCGGGCTGGTACCTCGGGCGATACGGAATACGTGTTGTATTCTATATCGACATAACCCCTGCAACCCCCACATCCCCCTTTTTGCAGACTTCCCCCAAGAAAACCAGTCTGAAACTTCCCGCCACGTCTGTCCTGCCTCCAGCTGACGTCACGCCCCTTCCCATCAACCACTCCGACCCCCTTCCTTACAGCACCAGGCCTAAGACGTTCCAGGACGTCTGGACGACGCGCCAAGATGGCGTCTGTTACGTGCACTTCGACTTCTACAACGGCGCGATGAGCACGGCCCAGTGTAAGCGGCTGGAGCAGGTTCTGTGGGGCGTGGAGCGGGATCCCGACTGCTCCGTGGTCGCCTTGATGGGAGGGTAAGCTCTAACCTATTGTAACAATGGGGGATTTATAGGCGCTACCCACTGACCCGGTCGATGGTTCTAGACCTTTTCGGCCGAGCTGTTAGAGAGTCGTACTGGTGCCCAAGAGGTCGTGGGTTCGAACCCCGGCCCGGGACCAGTAGGGTTCTGTTTCTACTGCTCGTCCCTGTTTCTTACACTATCATCATTATTAACTTATCAACTTAATTAGCTTATCAACAGGCATTGAGCAAGTCTTATGAAGTGTGGAACAGGATCGAGACCGCTCCGACTCGTTAATGGTAAAGTAAGCACTAACCTAAAAACTTTGTCAACCTATCATAGATTTAACTAACTAATCCAACCACGTACTTAGTAAGTAACCTGCACTTAGTAAACATTACATCTTCCTCTATTTTATAAAGGTTTTAATCACGTTTTATAAAAAATCAACAGCTACATTTTCTTACAACTGCGGAAAGAATACAAAATTAAGCGACGAAAACCTCTTTATCTGAACCATACACAGATGCAACTTCTTCAGCAACGGGATTCACCTGAACGTCATCGAGAACTCCGAATGTGCCGCCACCGAATCCTGGGCTAACATCACAGCCATCGATGACGTAGTTAAGGCGATATTCAGCATACGCAGTAAGGTGACAGTAGCGGCACTACAGGGGAATGCAGGAGCTGGTGGCGTCATGATGGCTCTTGCTGCAGACAAGGTACTCCCTTCTCACCATAACTCAGTATAATCAGTTCAATATTAGGGCTCTAAACGATTTATAGTTTCATGTCTATTCATAGTTTCAGCATCAAGGAAACATTTTAAAATATCTGCCAAATGTTTGATGTTTTGCAGGTTTGGAGCCACGCAGGCGTGGTGCTGAACCCACACTACCGCAAGATGGCACTTTTCGGTTCCGAGTATTGGACCTACTCCCTGCCTCGCAGGGTGGGAAGCCCCGCGGCAGAGGAACTGACCAATGAGCTGCAGCCACTCCTGGCTACGAAAGCCCGTGATAAGGGTAAGTTTAGGTTGGTATCGGGCCTTGGTTGGTCTCGGGCCAGGGGTGATCCCGGGCCTGGGTTGGTCTCGGGCATGGGTTTGTCTTGGGCCTGGAGTGGTCTTGGGCCTGGGTTGATCTTGGGCCTGGGTTGGTCTTGGGCCTAGGTTGGTCTCGGGCCAGGGTTGGTCTCGGGCATGGGTTT